ACATAACGAAACAATATCGTCTTCCACAGCGCGAGTTGGCATCGGAACGTAAGAGAAAGTCCTTGCGTGTATCGCTATATCGTTATATCGTCTTCTTCACTCGACGGCTTAAATCAGATTTCTGATGCATCGCTTGGAATGAAAGTCGCTGTATCGGTTTGCCGATATAGGCGTTAAATCGATATGTCGCGATATATCGATTTATAGCCCAGTCCTAGTCATGATTTCAACTATTTCTTAAAAAAAAAATCATGGAAAGTCACCTGTTTAGGTCACAGAAAAATCTAATTTTTAAAATGGAATTTACCTCCGAATTTCACAGTGTTTAGCAAAATCCCTACTCATAGTCATATTCTATTAAAATATAAAAAAATTTTATCCCTTTAAAAATTATGGTGTTCTTGCAAAAAATGAAAGAAAGAACATTAGTTCTAGAGGGAATTATCTTTTAAACTTCTGTGATTTCAGAATTGTTTATTTATTTATTTTTTCATTTTATCAATTTAAAATTCTAGTTTAGGCTTTTTATATTACACTTACTTTAAAGAAGAAATAAAACTGCTTTAAATAACTACATATATCTGACAGTATTTAGTTATTTGCTTTTGTATTTTTTTCAGCTCTTTTATTGCTACACTTTCTTTACTCTGTTTTTTAAGTTTAAAATCAATAAACATGAAGATGCAGAGTATAACAGTTTTGGTTATACCTATTATTTCAAATAATGTTATTATAATGTTTTTTTAAATATATTGTTGTGTTTTTGTGGAGAAAATAGTAACATCGGTATGTCATGAAAAATTCTTGGAATTATTCATGAAAAGTCATGGATTTGAAAATCTAAAATATAGCAGATACCCTGTATGAATTTAATTTGAAACATTTTCATCTATTATTTTATACCATTTAATATTTTTATCCGAAATTGTCTTGGTGAATATTGGTTTTTAGCTTTTAGAATCAAAACTGGGTAACCTGGGTTACAATAATTGGTTGTCACCTACTTGTTAATATTTGTTGCTAACCTTGCTACAGTACTTTTTCGTTGTTATCGTATTGCCTTTCAATTATTTTTGTACTTCTTATTGAGTTATCAAAGAACTATTACTGACTTTCTTTTTTATCATATTTTATTTAATTGAATCTGTAAGCAGACGTAAAGTGTTGAGTCTTTGAGATAGAACAAAATACTTATAGCATTGCTGCTAAAGGCAGCAGATCAATATGGATTACTGATAGCTATGGAGTAGGAATAATTAACTACAGAATATGGCTAGTTTCAGATGAAACTTAATTATTCTGCTATTTTCCTTGAAAATCAATATCATAGTTATGAAAAAAACATTGATATCTCTAGACTAAACTTATAATTTTTAAATGAGAAAAGAACTATTTCCTATGCTGTAAATCTTGAACTAATCTTTATTTTATCATTACTATTTGTTCATTCCCTTTCTTAGGTATCGAAGGTATCCAGATCATCATAAATACCTTGGTGAAGTTTTTTCACATAAAGGGGACATACAAGATATGGATTTATCTCCGTATGATGAATGTATCCTTTAATAATTATTTTGCAGACAAAAGCTTATTCAAAATTTGGCTGAAATTAATTACTTATTTCAACAAAAGTAACTTGACGGTGAGGGTACTGATCAAATATATATAAATATAGATATTTGATCAGATAATAAGTTTAAAATGTAGAGAAAACATAGAAAAATTACCAAACAATGAAAAAAGGGAAAAAGGAAAAAAATCCGGAAAAAAATTCTGAAAAAAAGAAAAAAAATTAATAAAAATCCAGAAAATAAAGGATATAATCTTTTCATCAACTCACATAATCAATCATATACGCAAAAAGGAGTGCTTTCTAATATTGTATAATATAGCCAAAGCTAAATATATCAATACAATAATGTGAGGAGCACTCAAAAAAATTTATAACAAATAAAATAGAACACATTAAGTAAAAATATCATGTAAAAACAGAAAATAAAATATAAAGAAAAAACATGAAACGAAATCTATAAAGTGAGTAGCGAATTCAAATGAACTTACATGAACGGGAAATTTTTCAAGAATGATTTAAAATCTTTTCGTTCCAGAATTGCCCAATTACAAAATATGAAGACAAAAGCGCAAATTGAGATAAAAGCGTAAATAGAAGGGTTTTGTTTTACAGTACTGAAGTGCGTTTGGTTTGTTAGTTACCAAGCATGGGCCCGAAAATGGATGTGCTCCAGGTAATATTATACTGGATTATTTAAAGAAGTTAACAATTAATAATTTTAGAAAATTAACTTTTATTTGAGAAAAAATAAAATAAAATAGAAAGGGGAAAAGATGCTGATGATGTCAATATAATTGCTCGTTCCCTTCCTGCCCTGAAAGAGGCATTTCTTGCCCTTGAGGTGGCTGCAAGGCAAATGGGTTTAGTCATAAATGTAGAGAAAACAAAATATATGTTTTTCTCAAGAAACAGAGTCGATCCCAGACCCCTATCTTGAAATGAATTCTTATAGATTTGAAACAGTAAGAAGTTTTACTTACTTAGGATTAATTATTACCATTGACAACAGAATTACTCATGAAATAAAAAACTGACTCTATCTGGCAAATAGGGCTGTCTATGGGCTGAGAAGATTTATTAAATCAAGGTTTCTTTCTAGAGAACAAAGTTCTTAATCTACAAAACTCTTGTCCGGCCAGTCTTGACTTACGCTTCTGAGGCTTGGACAATGACAAAACAGGAGGAAAATTGTATCGCATTATTTGAGAGAACGATTTTGTGGAGTATACTCGGTGATATAAATGAAAACAATAACTGGAGAAGGAGATTTAACTTTGAACTGTACAAGATTTATAAACAACCTGATATTATTAAATACATAAAAATAAATAGAATGAATTGGATGGCCCACGTGATTCGAATGAGTGATGACAATACAATAAAAAAGATACTGCTTTTTAGACCCGCGGGAAAAAGAAAGCGGGGAAGGCCGCACTGAGATGGGCTGACTCAGTGGAGTCTGATTTTCTCGCAATTAATAAAAAGAATTGGAGATCAAAGGTGAATCAAGAGTCGTCATGGAGAAATCTTCAGAAGAAGGCATTGGCTCACATTGGGCTGTTTGGCCAACTATGATGATGATGAGAAAAGGGAAAAGAAACATGAATTTCCTGTTTTGCACATAATTTTAGCCATAGATTTGCACATATTAAAAATTACATAAATTAACAAAGAAGTTTTTTAGTAAATTTATTTACCAAAAACTATAAAACAAAACTCCTCTATTTACGCTTCTACCTCAATTTGCGCTTTTGTTTTCATATTTTTAACTTGGCAATCTTGTTACGAAAATATTTTAAATCATTCTTGAAGAATTTCCCATTCATCTAAGTTTATTTGAATTCACTACTTGCTTTATAGATTTCCTTTTATGTTTTATTCTGTTTTTTCCTTATATTTTATTTTCGGTTTTTGCGTGATATTTTTATTTAATGCGTTCTATTTTATTTGTTATAAATTTTTTTGAGTGCTCCTCACACTATTGTATTGATACAATTTTCTTCGGCTATATTGATACAATATTAGAAAGCACTCTTTTTTGCGGATATGGTCGTGTGAGCTGATGAAAAGGATTATATCTTTTATTTTCTGACTTTTTATTAATTTTTTTTCCTTTTTTCAGAAATTTTTTTCTTCCTGATTTTTATTATTTTTCTTTTTCCCTTTTTCCTTTGTTCTGTACTTGCAGCTTATGCACAGTAAATAAAACTTATTGTTACTCTTAATTTTTTTTTTTGCCCTTGTTGTATTTATGCTATATATATATATATATTTATTAACAGTTAAAATGTTTACTAAGAATTTATATAACTGTTAAGCTTATGCTTTAATAATTTTAGTTGTAGCTGATTTTGTTATTATATATCTATGTATATACAGTGATAGCCAAAAGTGTGGACATTTTGTGAAAGTTTCATGTTTTTCAACTTTGTGTGGTTGTGGAAGATATTAATTTTCCCTTAAATGCAAACGTTTATATATCAAATTGAAGGTAATGTAATGTAGAATTTAATAACAAAACAGGATTAAAATATCTGTGTTACGAAAAAAGTTATGCTAATTTTAGTCGAACAAACAAACACATATCGTTTTGAATAAGGACGTGTTTTGTAATAAAAGCGTACTAGCCAATCACAAACACTGTTCTTAGGACCAATCAAATGTCTGTAACTAAAGATTAGGTTATTTGGATGGTAAAAGAGTTGTTGTGGAAATATTTTGCAGAATGATGCATACTTGTACAATTAAATAGAGTATTGCTGTTTTTGAATATTTAATGCCCTTTTTTTTTAATTAAACTAATTTTAAACAATGTCATCAACAAGAAGAACTAATTGGACATCTGCAAAAAAGAAGCCGAATTTTCATATTGAGAGAAAACGGCCTCTCTTGTGCTGAAATTGCAAGACAAATTGGTGGTTCAGTGACTTGTTCTGGTGTGCGAAAGTTCTGTTTACATTATGAGAAAACGAAATCAGTGGAAAATAAAGCCAAATCAGGCCGAAAAAAATTCACAAGTGCTACTGCCGATAGAAAAATTAAACTGCTATGCCTTCAAGATAGAAAAATTTCATCAGATGTGAAATTAATGCAGTAAGTTCAAGAACAATAAGAAGAAGGTTATCAGGATTTGGGCTACAAGCTAGAATTCCAAGGAAAAAAAACATATTTAAATCAAAAGCAACACGAAAAACGAGTTAAGTGGTCAAAAGAACACATTAAATTGTCAGAAAATCAATGGAAGCAAGTAATCTTGAGTGATGAGAGTAAAATATCGCTCTTTGGTAGTGATGGTAGAAAATACGTGAGACGTAGAGTAGGTGAAGCACTTCATCCTGATTGCTTTGAAGCAACTACAAAAAACCCAACAAATGTCATTATTTGGGCATGTATGTCTGCAGATGGTGTGGGCAGAAAAATATGATGAAAATGCCAAAAAAATACATCGAAACTGTCCTGAAACCAAAATTGATACCTTCCATCAGGGATTTCTTCCCCAACAACACACCATTTATTTTTCAGCAGGATTCAGCTCCATGCCACACAGCAAAAGTATGCAAAGCATGGTTTCAAAATAAAAGCATAGATATATTACCATGGCCAGGAAACAGCCCTGATCTCAATCCAATTGAAAATTTGTGGCGACGTTTGAAAATTCTTGTACGAATAAAACATCCATCAATAAAAGACAACTTATTGAAGCTATAATTGATTCTTGGCACCATGTGATTACGAAAGATGAACTCCAAACACTCGATGAAAAGACGTTGTGAAGCTGTCTTTAAAAATAAGGATTATCCTACTAAGTATTGATCGTGTAAGTATCACTTCAAAAAAATGCAAATCTAACATAGATCTTACTATTAGTTGATACCTTTTTTTGTAATACAGATATTGTAATGCTGTATTTATTATTAAATTCTACATTAAATTACCTTCAATTTTATATATAAGCGTTTGTATTTAAGTGAAAATTAATATATTCTACAGTGCCCGCCGCTAATAAAATCACCGGATAATAAAATCAGCCGCTTTATAAAATCAAATCGGCAAGAACCGAATCGTTACANTGAAAAACATGAAACTTTCAAGAAATGTCCACACTTTTGGCCACCACTGTATATATGTATATATATATATTTTATTTTTTATTTATTTATTTATTTTTTTTTTTTTGAAAATGATCCAGTAGAAAATGAGAAATCAATATTTACCCAACTTTTCAATTCACATTTCCTTTTCAATTAATGTTATTATTGTTATAAACAGGAAGTACAGAGGAGCTTATGCTAAATTCTTAGCAGAACTTGTTGAAACAATTCTAAAATTTTATGGAAGCATAAGCAAAGGTAGATATAACAAACTAACGAATTGTCTTATTCCTGTACATCAACATTGAAATTTAATTCCTTTTTCTGATAACAATCAATTATTTACCTGTTTTAAATTTTAGCAACAACTACTCAGGCATTAAAATTGCATCTATTTTGATTGAAAAGTTAATACTTTCTTAACTGTTTATAAGTTTTAATTACTGCTTCCAAAGATAGATCTGTTGGAATTTTGAGACTTGGTGCTCCAAATCATGGTTGGACTGAGTACAGTGAATTGACTTGATATGAATACTCATATTTTGACAATATGTAGTTAATTTTCAAATAAACTTTCTCATAAGGAAATACACTCCATCTTCAGTTTGAAAGAGAATTGGAATTTCATGAAACACTGTGGCAATAGTTCCTTACCCAAGATCTGTTTTTTAACGTAGAATTTCTGTGCATATATCATCCTATGCAATTTTAAATCATCTGACTTTATGCACCGAATCTTATTGAGAATGCCAGTGTTGAACTTGCTTTTATAGAATGAGCTATGAGAGCTAATGAATGTTTGAATGAGGGAAAAAACTTTATGTCAATTAATCATTGCCCTGTATTGATAACTATGACTGTATTGATGACACAAACAGTGATTATATTTTTTCAGCAATATTGTATTTGTCATCTTGTTCATCATCTATCATGTTCTGTAAAAAGAATTCATTCTATCTCTGCCTTTCTGTAACACGTTAGTTTATTAGATAGTCATATGAATAGTTGAATGAATTAATTTAATTATATATATATATATATGTTTTTAAAGAATGCAAAACAGTTATTTAGTAGTTCTTCATACCATCAAAATAATGATTAACTGAATTCAATATCTTCCTGGCATGATATTACTTATGGAAGCAAATCATGATATTTAAAATTTACCTGAAGGAAGCAACTTTCTATGGTACTTCGGAGGGGGAGTTGTTTTCGCATTGTCTATCGTAAAAACGCATAATTTTGAAGCAGCTTCTATCGACACCAAATTTACACATAAAATACTTTGGAAATATACAAGAGTATATTTGGTACCTAATTAAACTACCTCTATTACCATAATATTAGTACCTATCACCAAAATGAAGCATTCTTTGTAGTAATAATTATATGTGACTTTTTTACGATTCACCAATATGAATAAATACATTTTTTCAAATAACTTCTCCTCTTAGTGCATAATTTCTTTTTTCATAATGCATAACGACTATAATGTATAACGATTGATTTTTTTCACCTTTCAAAAATTTTCTTCTTGAAATACGTCATTTATTATGAAGTAAAATGTATAATGATAGATCTACTATTTTTTCAAAAAATTTACTTTGAGGACGATGTGATTGATTACATATATTAAAAAAAGGATATTGATTGAATTTTTCTCCTTTCAANGGAAAATTTGCAAATAGATATATATATTGACTGCAACTTCAAGACTTTGTTGTTTTAAAAATTAGAGTCATATATGAATTTTGTTATTTGAAAAAAAATTAGTTTATTTGTGTTGTATTTGAAGGGAATTTTATTTATTTTTGTATAGGATATTTCTTTGATTTACATGTTTTATTTCCACCAATTTGCCTTTTTTAAACAAATTCTTTCTGAATTCAAAATGTTTTTAAATTTATATTTATAACATGTTGATTATTAATTACTCTCAGTCTTGACTAATTTTTCTCATTTCCTTCATTTTTTTATATACATTTATCCTGATCTTCTTTTAAACCTGTTTCCTAGTATTATGAAATATAACATTGAGATCTGTGAAATTGTTATTTAAATAGTGATTATTCACATATGTTTTCATTACAAAATAAATCAGATTTGTGTTATGAGAATCAAAAAATATTTATGTTAAAAAATATTCATTTAGATTTCTTTTTATTTTGTATCTCTTATCTCTGAAGAAACTGTTTTTAATAGTTACGAAATTTACTGTAGATTTTTATTTTATTTTAAAATATTTTTCACTAATTTTATAATTATTTGATAAATTTCAAAAATTAGATAATGGAGTTAACTCCATTTTCGAATTTCTGTCTGCTCAAAATAAAACAATTTAATTCATTCGAGCACATTTGAGATTGACATTATCTCTACACTCTAAGATCAGGTGCTTTATACTGTAAATTTTAAGAATGAATCTTTATCTTATCATTAAAAAAGATCGTGATTAATATTATATGATTTCATTGACTGATAACTATGCTTTTCTTTCAAGCCCAAATTTGTATTTCCCTTTGAAACTTTGCACCATGAATTATGCTAAAATAACTCTTGTCAGTTATTTTTTTTTAGAAAAATCTTGCTTTTAAACCATAAAAAATTTAAAGGAAAAACTTATTTATCTGGTAATTTTTTACTCTGATGCATTTGAAACTTATCTAAACATTTATGAGGTCAGTAAAATTTTACAGTTTAATTATCCATAAATATTTTTGCTATGTCACCAGATTATAGGAATCATGCATATGTCATAAACTATTTACATTCAATTTCACATGGACTATCATTTAAAAGAATCTTTTTAAGATGAACGTTTATTTTCTAACTCTTAGAAATGTGCTAGTGTCCATCGAAATTATTATTATTTTTTTTTATTATTTCACTCGCACTAAAACTTTTCTTTTCCAAACTCTGTAAGTCTCTGAATAAAAATGTTTTAAAAGACTAATACTACAGCAATAACATGTTAATTAATTTCATGATTTTTTTTCTTGTGACAAAAACTAAAGCACATTTTGTTAATAACCTATCTGTGATAGCTCTCTATACAATAATTGTTTTCAAAGATGTTTATTTATTTATACTCATTATTTCAAAATTTTGATAGAAGTGTTTTTACAATTTGTTTCTACTATGAATGGACAAATAAAATAATCTATTGGGATTGCTTAAAATTATATAGCTCAATACTGTTTTTTTTTCTACATAGCTTTCACTTGTGAGCAAAAAAAATATGTTATGGTCTTTATTTCATTTTTATTATTGCTAAATGATATATGACCTGCATTATAAAAAAATATATGTTGTTAATAATAGTTACATCTCATTGCTTATAACAGTTATGAAACATGCACCAAAAAAAGTAGCAATATCTTATTTCAATAATATTATTCAATTTTAATTCAATAATATTTAATCTTAAACTATCTGAAAGGAGTAGATAAGAAATTTTTGCTAATTTTAATTTTTTTTTCGTAATTTCTTTTTGTTGATCACACTTTTTATATTTTGAGGCACATGTTCCATGACTGCTGTAATATTAATCAGAAATTGCTGTAATTTTGTTCAAATTACACTCGTTCTTAGAATACTCTTTATTTTTATCAGTGTATTTATAGTGCAACTTTGTTGTTTTTTTAACATTCTTTCTCTTTGCCAATATCTAAGTATTTACTTTAACAATATTTTGATTATATTAACACATTTTTCTCTTTTTGTATTATAGGGGTGCACAATCTTTTTGCATGAAGGGCCATTGCACAGCAGGTAGATAAACAAAGGGCCACATACATATTTAGTCATGCTAGCTGCAAATATGATAAGTTTTATGTGCACATTAGTGTTCTAAGAACTAAATTTTTTTTATCAGTAAATTTAATGACATATTTGCAGTAAGTTGAGAACTTTTAATTATTTAAAAATAAAAAAACATAGTTTTTCTTAAACTTTTTCCATTTTTCACAATAATAAATAAATTAATCAAAAAGAAAATATCTATATAAATAAATATATATGTATACACACACACATAAATGTTAGGGGGATATAAATTCTAGCCACAAAAAAACTAGTGCTTACAAAATGAAAAAAATAAAGGACAGTGCAACAAAGATATAGGCATTTTATTGGGTAATATAAATTTTAATTAATTAATTTCATTAAAGAAAATTTTCTGTATAAACAAAATTTTAAACATTCATTCTAGTACAAAATAAGATTCAATGTTTACTTAGTATTATTTTTCAGATATCATTTCTGTTTCTTGAATTATTAAGAGGTTTTAAGCATTTTAAATAGAAAACGTTTCCTTTTTAGTTTTTTCTTAAAGATGCAATGTGCAATAACATTGTATTAAAATATCAGGATTCTAAATACTACATACAAATTCATAGTGCCAACTACGGAAATGACGAAAAAATAACTTATATTTATGATGAAATATGCACAAATAAACTGTATAAAAAAATGATTATTTAAATTTTCGATTAGAAATTTATGTGTTGTATTAACATTGTAGTTAAGGTTACGGAATTGTCAAAATCGCAAAGAGAATTGCAGAATAATTGCAAAAAATGGATTAAATTTAAAAGGAAATTAGCATAAACAAAGTATGTAAATGTGTGATTTAAAATTAGCATGTCCTAATAAAAATCGGAATTTTTGAAACTGCGTGTGAAAGCATCGCAGAAACTGCTGTTAAACTTATTGAAAAAACAACTTGGATTTACACTGCAATCAGCACAAATTAAGTTCGACAAAAAGTTATCATTTAAATGTGTGATTTATAATTCATGAATCATGATATCATAGCAAATGTATCAGTAATTCATAAATCACGTGGAAATTGGTAGTTATAAGTGCCACAAACGATCCAATCTTCACTTGGATTTATGATGAAATTGGATAAATTAGAGCACGTCGAAAAGTGATTATTTTAATGGGCGATTTGAAATTTATGTGTCGCAATAACAGTGTAAAAAAATATGAGATTTTCAAAATGACATGGGAAAATTTGCAAATAGTAGCAATAACTGCCTTTTAAAAAAATCATTTAGATTTATGATGAAATTAGTACAAATAAAGAACATCAAAAGGGGATAAATTTGGTTGGCGATTTATAACTCACGAATCATAATATATGTATCGAAATCTTAAAATCCACATGGAAATTGGTAATTATAAATGCCAAAAAATGATAGAAACCTCACTTGGATTTATAATAAAATCTGCAAAAATTACTCCAATTCGAAATTCTTGTATTGTAATATCTTATTCAAAATATTGGGTCTTTTAAAATCATATGGAATTTCATAGCAATACTGTGTGAAATCTTGTAGCAATTCTATGTGGAATTTCGTAGCAATACCATTTACAATTTTGTAGCAATACAGTTTAGAATTTCGTAGCAATAACCAATGAAAACGCAATAGAGAAACAGCATAGATTTACAAAGGAATCAGTACAAAATGAGCGTATTAATAAGTAATGACTCAATTTTCTAAAAAAAAATTGCATTCAGAAGTTCCCATGGGCCGCAAGTTGTGCACCCTTACAAATTTTGAAACTGCTGATATGCATTAGTTTGAAACTGTTACATTTGTTAACATTCAGTTATATATTTTTACTGTCTAATTGTTTATAAATATAGAAATGATTTTAATTGCAAGAAATAAGTTATTTCATCATTTTCTGATTTTTAACTATGCATGCATTTAAATGTACAATCTTAAATATATATTTTTCAAAACTTGAAGGAAGTAAATAATTAGCTCTTCGCTTAGTTATAAGTTGGCTCTGTTTTTTTCAGGCATTAATCTCATATAGGTTGGAATTTTTTTCCATCTGTCTGTCCAGTTCAATTTTACCATGTATTATAATTCCTTTATTTAAGCCTCAGCCAGTTCATTAACAGGCAAAATGATAATATATTTTTCCGTTATGTACCGTTTTGCCTATCTACTATTGAAGAAGAATGCAGATCAAAATGTT